TTAATTAAAAATAATAATAATAAATGACAAAATTAATGGGTATTACAACTAACCTCAATACCCCGTCCGGTATGGGCGCCAAAATCATGAACCTCAATACCCCGTCCGATATGAGGGTGAAACGGACCGTCCCCATACCCCGTCCGGTATGGGCGCTAAAACACATAAGATCTCCATACCCCGTCCGGTATGAGAGACTACGTTTCCGGTAGGGTTCCCTACGGACCCGGTCCGTCCACCATCTCCCAAGATATCTAGTTAGGCTGTCCACATTATCCACTTATCAATTCACATAACTTTTTTATCCTTTTTTTTTGTTTCAATCATCTAAACACACACAACATGTAAATCACTAATGGACACCAAACAAGACAACACAGTATCGAGTTCATCATAATACAAACCATAATAAAAGAAACTATGATTCATGCATACGAGACCATAACGTAATTACATCAAACATCATGCTGCATTTAATACTTGAAATTAAATCAAACAATAACAGACCGATACTGTATCAGACTCGGGCTCCATTGGCAACCTTAATCAATTATACATCTATAAAGTCACAAAGTACAATTTAATTATTTATTTAGTTTTAATACCGTGATAGAAAACAGGGTGAGGGGTCCTTACTCGTTTCGGGGTCTGAATTCAACTCTATAGTGCGCCTACAGGCTGTCCCTAATTTCCCTAAATTTTTTCTGGAAAATTGAAACGCAATACCGGTACCTGCACGTGTCCCAAAAAAATCCCAAATCAGACCTAGGGCCCCTTTCGGCCAATATCGCAATTCCGGCACGGCGACTCCGCCGTGCTTCGGTGACGGCACCGCCGCTTGCGGCGGCCATTCCCCTCAAGTTAGCTGTTTTCGGCCAAATTCAGCCAAATCGCATCGGTCCCTGCGATAAAAACAACCCTAGGGCCCTCGATGGGCCAAAAAATCACGAAAAAATCGAAACTTACCGGCGGCGGTGCCCTCGGGTGCGACGGCTCCTCCGGCGTGAGTCGTGTTTTGATGTTTGGCTCCGATCAACCTGTAGAGAAAAGAACGGTGATCACAGTGGTATAAAATTTACATCGAACGGAGGCCGGGAAGGGCCTCATCGGAGGCAAAAATCAATGAGGGGCGCGGCGCGCCGCTGGGCTTCAGCTGGGTTTTCCGGCCGTTTGGCCGGTGGTTTGGCTCCAGTTTGGCCATAGGCGGACTCAGCATCGAAAAACAAGCAAGGAGGAGAAAATTTACCTCGATCGGCGGTCGAAAACTTCCCCGGTGCGGCGGCGGGTGGCGGCGGCCGGCTCCTCCAGCATCTGGTTCTTCTTCTCCGGCGAGGCACTGGCGGCTAGGGTTTTTGTGGTCAGGTGTGGGTGGGGTTATTTATACCCTTTGCCTTTTAATCTCAACCGTCCATCAAGATTAAATCTAGGCCGTTCGATTACGATTTAATTGGGATTAAATCTGGGCCGTTCATCGCAATGCAATCTGGGCCGTCCGTGTGCGCGGGAACAGATCTGGGCCGTCCGATCGCACGCACGCGGATCACCCACATGGCCCATCCCCTGGTCAGCATTTCTTTGCCACGCGGTGCGTCCTGGTTGGCCAGAGCTGCTGACCGGGCCGCTGACGTGGCTGCTGACGTGGTGCTGACGTGGCACAACTTTTCTAAATTGCGTTTTGACCACCGGTTTCCGATTTTCTTTTCAAAAATACCCCCAGAATCCAAATTTTCACCACTTTTTCTCAAAATCAATTTCAATTAAATCCAAATAATATTTTTACCCAATTTTATCATTATTATTATTTTTATTTTCATTAAATTAAATCAAATTAAATTAAATAAAAAAAATCAAATAAAATTCCAATAATTACAAAAAAAAATAAAAAATAATAATAATAATACACTTGGGGTGTTACAAGCTCGATCAATTTTCGAATCGAAGTTAATGAATACTTTGTAGTGTTACTTTCGTTTTAGTTCTGAACATTCTTTTAATCCCTATTTGGGCATCATAAGTAAACACGCAAGGAATATAATTTTTAACCCTTTAATTCTTCCGCTAAATGACAATTTCAATATTGTTTATATCATTATTAATGTCTTAAGCGTTTGAAATTCCTAATAGAGGTTTAGGCTTTTACAACAAATGAAATCGTATAAGTAATTTAGAATTTCTAAATGGTCATTTCTCTTCATTCGTCTATTGAGAAACCCACTTTTTTTAAAAAAAAAAAAATTAAGTTTTAATTGGATTGTTTAAAATTTTATAAGATCTATTAAATGGTCAAGAGACTTTAATAAACTTTCACATAATTTAATAAAATAGGTAATTAATCTATTCGTTAATGACCTAATCCGAGAAGTGCAAAGCTTAAATTTAAATTTTTTTTTTTTAAAAAAAAAAAAAATCATAGAAGTAGTTAGGATAATCTTTTTATTTGATAAATTAGTCTTACACAGATATTGTATGCATATATATTACAAGATCCATGTACAACTTAAATTTTTTTTAATCTAGTGGGGCGAAAAATTAATAATTTAATTCCAATATAAATAATTTATATTTAATTTTAAATTTCACTACGGTGTAGCTACATCATTGCTCTCATCATAATCCTAAATATCTCTTTCTATCCTCTAAAATTTTTCATCATGTAACAAAGATACAGATCTCATGATGAAAAGCAAAAATGGCCCCTTTTTATACCTATTAAATAATAATAAAGTATTTACAATTACCTTTAAAAAG